AGTCGGGCAAGATTGAGCGACTGAAGTGAACTGAACTGAATGGAAACCTCAAGAGTGGATGACACTACCCAGAGAGACTTGCTGATTGTAAGAAAGGAGCTCAGAAAAGAATGCTATGAAACATCAAACTTTAGGGCTGGGCAGTAGAAGAGTGCTGACAAAGGCGACAGAAGACGCAACAGGATCTGAAGGGACAGTGAGACAGAAACTCAGGAAGAGATGGCAAAAGGCTAGACATCACAGAAGTAAATTAAAAGGGAATAAAAAAGAAGACAACAAATTCTGGCCACCAAGGGGCCATGGTGACCTGTAAGAACCCCTCAGAACAGGAATGGGCAGAGAAGCCAGAGCACAGGGCATTGAGTAATGAGTTATAAACTGAAGAAAAGGAAGCTAGGAATGAAAGGAAAAGAGAGAGAGATACAGGACAGTAGACTGAGGAAACAGCAAACAAGGAAAGTGATTTCAGACATGAGGAAACACGAGTGTACAGGTTTCAACCAAGGAGAGGCTGTCAAGGGAGAGGAATTATGAAGATAGGGAAAAGGGTGTCAATTGACAGAGCCAGTTCCAGAACCAATGAATGGGTTGATCGTGATTACCTCTCCTCCCCAGCAACCTCGACACACTACTAGTTCTTCCCCTGGGCTAGCAGAGAATTTTCACACCACTGTGCCACTGCCGTGGTATGAAATCACTTAATCTGTGGCCTCACGCTGTTCTATCAGCTGGAAATAACTTGCCCACTTACCCTGCTTTCTCTGTCTTACACGTGCACTCACCCTTCTGATCCAGAGCAAATCCTGCCCTCCTCTGAGAATCCCACCTGATTTCCTCTGCAATTCCCAGTCCTACAAAACAAAGATGAACCTGCTGTGTACCTTTATCACAGACTTTATTTGTACTGCCATCATCATTTTCCTCTCTGTTTCCCCCAGTAGAATGTGAACTCCTGAGGGCAGGGATTTTGTCATAATATCCTTTGTATCTTAATTGCCTAGACTGTTATCTGATTGACAGGGGCAGGAACTGTAATTGCACACTCACTTTGGAGGATGCTTCAATCCTAGCAAACTCTGTTACACATGTAAGATGATCTTCCTCTTACAGAGGAGGAAGCTAAAATTCAGAAACTCTAAACAACTTGCTGAAGGTCACATTATCAAAAGTAATAAGGCGGGGGGAGTGGGGGGAGGCGTTTCCCTGGTGGCTCAGTGGTAAAGAATCTGCCTGCCAATGCAGGAGACGTGGATTTGATCCCTGGGTCAGGACGATTCCCTGGAGAAGGAAATGGCAACCCGCTACAGTATTCCTGCCTGGGAAATCCCATGGACAGAGGTGCCTGGTGGGCTACAGTTCGTAAGTCGCAGAAGAGTTGGACATAACTGAGCGACTAAAAAACAACAAAAAAATAGGTGGTGACATATTTTTGCCACTTAAAACTGACCCACATATCCTCAAAACTATCCTAAGCATGTCTCCTACTATGTCCTTCTAGGACTGTTGCTTCCAGCCTACAACAAGGCGGGAAACAGAAAAATGGGTACGGTGAACAGGCCTCCCATGATGCAGGGTGCTTCAGATTGGATGGAGGCAGGATAACCCTACTACTGGTGTGGCAGAAACTTCTCATTGCCCCCCCACCCTGCCCCAATATCAATTCTTTCTTCTTCTCTGGTAACAGTCTATGGCCAGATGACAGCTTCCAAGAAAGGAACCATCACCTACTCTTCACCTAGGTATCCCCAAGAATGAAGTTCTCACCAGTGGCCTTTAAGACAAAGGTGCTCATGCATCTTTAAGAGACAGCTGATGTATTCTCTTTACCCTTTATTTTTCATCCCCTTTTCCACAAAACTTCCCAGGTGGCACCAGTGGTAAAGAATTTGCCTGCAAATGCAGGAGATACAAGAGACATGGGTTCAATCTCTAGGATGGGAAGATCCCCTAGAAAAGGAAATGGCAACCCACCCCAGTATTCTTGCCTGGAAAATCCCATGGACAGAGGAGCTTGGTGGGCTACAGTCCATAGGGTTGCAGAGTCGGACATGACTGAGTACACACACACACATATTTGTGCAAAATAAAATTGAAAAGCTAAAACCTGAAGATTGGACAATGATTTCTTAAGCAAATGCAGATACCAAATCCAGGTATGACAATATTAATTTCAAACAATGGAAAGTTAAAGCAAAAGACAGTAGGAAAGACAAGGAAGACCATATTCCTTCATAAGGATCAATGATCGGGATCTGCTACTAAGTAACAAAGCATCAAAATACATAAGATAGAAACAATTAAAAATTACAAGGAGGACTTCCCTGGTGATCCAGTGGTTGGAGTCTGCCTGCCAATGCAGGGGACATGGGTTCAATCCCTGGTCTGGGCAGATTCCACATACGTCGGGGCAACTAACCCAAAGCACCACAACTAATGAATCCTGAGAGCCCTAGAGTCCATGTTCTACAACAAGAGAAGCCACTGCAATGAGAAACCAGAGTACCTCAAGTAGAGAGCACCTCCCTCTCACCACAGAGAAAGCCTGCACACTGTAACGAAAATGCAGCCCAGCCTAATAAAATTCAATAAAAAATTATAAGTCAATAGACATAAAACTAGAATGACCTTTTTGATAAGTCAGGTACACTAAAAATAAATGCAATGAATTCTGGAGTTAAATAATTACATTAAAAATTAAACCATTAAAAAATCTAGGTGAAAAACTAACTGATCTGAGAATGGGTAAATCTAAAAACAATGAAGAAACAACAGAAGAAAGAAAGATTTATCTGTGTAATTTTAAAATACGTAATCCAAAAAAAAAGGTGAATGACATACTAGAAAAAAATTATAACAGGTACAACAGGCAAAAGGTATTATTCTAAATTTATGAGGGTCTCATAAATATCAGAGATACTAATATTCTATGCTGCTAAGTCACTTCAGTCATGTCCGACCCTGTGCCCCATAGACGGCAGCCCACCAGGCTCCCCCGCCCCTGGGATTCTACAGGCAAGAACACTGGAGTGGGTTGCCATTTCCTTCTCCAATGTGTGAAAGTGAAAAGTGAAAGTGAAAGTCGCTCAGTCGTGTCCGACTTGTAGCGACCCGATGGACTGCAGCCTACCAGGCTCCTCCGTCCATAGGATTTTCCAGGCAAGAGTACTGGAGTGGGGTGCCATTGCCTTTTCCAACATTCAAAGCTAGTTCTGTCCAATTGTTCTAAATCTGCACTGTCCAATAGGGTAGCCACTAACCACAAGAATACTTGAAACAAGGCTAGTGTCACTGTTGAAATGATGATATTTGGGGTATATTTGGCTAAATAAATTTTATTATTAAAATATTCATTAAAATTATTTCACCTGTTTCTTTTTACTTGTTTAATGTTGATACTAGAAAATTTTAATTACATACATGGCTCACGTTAGGTCTTTATTGAAAAGGGCTGTTTTAGAATAAAGACACATTAGGTCTTGATTGAAAAAGGCTGATTAAGAAAACAAAAAATTCAAAAAAGAACAATAAACTAGGAAAAAATTGTTTGTACCTCACTTATAACCCAAGAAATACAAATTGAAACAAGATACCATTTTTTCTTTGAAATTGACAAAGTTAAAAAAAAAAAAAAAAGACCTCATTGTTGGCAAAGTTTCCATAAAATGGAGAGCCCATAAAATGGAAACTCTCAGAGTGCTGATGAGAGTATAAATGAATTCAACCTTTCTTGAAAGCCATTTGGCAATATGAATCAAGAATCTTAAAAACACTTATACTCTTTGACCTAATGTCTCTGTTTCTAGGAATTCAGCCTAAAGAAATAATTTTTAATGCAATTAAAGCTTTTGTATAAGGATATCCATCACAGTGCTATTTCTAATACTGAAAAGTTGGAAACAAATAGACAACAACAGAGAAATTGTTAGGTATATTATGGTTCTACCTTATTATTCATATTGTATAGCCTTAAAATTTAAAAAAAAAATCTAGTGATGAGGAAAATGTTCACAATAAACTGAAAAAAGCAGGACTTATTTTACAGTATAACCATAAAGAATACTGTATGTATGTACATATCATGCATATAAACACTATTTCATATCTTTAATACCTTAATTTCCTAGTTTATAACACCTTTCACAAAGTTAGGATCAAAGTTAGATAATGCAAAAAAGGCTCTAAGTGGGCGTCTCTGGGTAGTAGAATTATTTTATTTTCATCTTTATACTTTCTTGGGTTTTTTCCTCCAAAATATTCATGAGTATGTACTATTTTAAAAATACGAAGAGAACAATCCCTTTTATGAAAGTATCTAGGCCACATCAATCCCCACCCTCTCTCAGGTTGCAAGCCCTCTATGAACCAGAGCCCTTTTCCTTTCCAAAATTATTTCCCATGGCTGCCATTAGTCATGTCAGAGTTCCCTCCATGCCACGTCTGCCCTCGCCTCCCTCTCCCTAATGTGGTCTGACTTCCCACTGAGCACATGCAGCTCAGAACATTCACAAACCCTCTCATTTATCCCACCAAACAATCCTGAAAGGTGGGAATTATTGTCTGCGCTGTAAAGAGAGAAGGGGGAGAGGAAATGGTGTTTTTTCCACTAACTACAATTTCACCCACCCTTCTTACCTTCTGCACAACTGTATTTCACCTCCACTCGCCGAGTGATATGGAGCAAGTCACTTAACTTCCGTAAGGTTGTCTTCTCACATGCAAAAGGCGGGCAACAATGGTACAACCACCGCGGAGCTTCTGTGAGGACGACGGGATCCCACTGCTCAGTTCTCTTAGGCCACTGCCTGGCCTTCTCCTACCACTACCGACCCTTTTCAGCTGGACCCCAACTGACCCCACCTCCTGCCGGCTATCTCAGGCCAGCGAGAACTAGTCCGGTGCAGACACAAAGGAAATCTTTCTTAGCTCAGAGAGTGGAGAGCCAGAAGCTCGGGCTCTAGAGCACAAGTTCATCCCACAGGTAGTGTGCCCGGCTGCCTTACATGGATCTCGCGAGAGGGGACAGAGTTCTCGCGGGGCTGGCTCTAGTGCGCTGCTCAGCTTCCACAGAGCCGGGCTGAGCACTCCTCTCTGCACACTGCCTGCGGCCACCGCGGACATCTTGACTTGAGCGTTGTGCTCAGCACTATTGCACAGGCCTGGCCAGAAATGAGTTATAGGAAACAGCTATAACTCAGAAACTCTGGTCTAAAGGGCTGGGTGCGAGGTCTCTGCATGTGGCCCCCTGTGAGCAAGTGAAACCAGACTCAGCACAAAGGATTTTTTTTTTTAAGTGTAAACCTTATTTCATTACTCAGATTCCTTTTTACATTTCCCAGGAATCGTTAATGGGCTTTGCCAGCGACAGTGCCAACTCAAGTCCCTCCTCGCCTTCCAACTCTCTCCAACTCCTAAGACCCATGCCTTTCTCTGCCTTCTCTACTCTTCCTTAGCACAGGGCCTGGTGGTTCTGTGTGTTAGTTGTGATTCCTCAACTGCACCACAAGCTCCCACCAGGGAGAGGCAGAGCCCTTTACCCTGTCTCTCTCTCCCACCTCATTGAGTGCTGTGGAACATTCTAGACTTCAACATCTAATTGCTTGAATAATACTTAATTGCTTGAAAAGTCAGTAGCATTATTTCACATGTCAGCTCTTGGGCAAACTGAAATTTTCATACAGGGTGAGCAGCCAGTCACATGGATTTAATAGGCGTCTCCTAGAACATTCTTACAAGCCAAAGACTGAGGAGAGGCCCATCCACTTTACTCAAGCAAACCTAAAGCACCTGCATATTGCCACGGGCTGGATACATCCATTGCCTGAATTAGCAGGGACCCCCCCCCCCCCCAGGGAAGTTCAGGTGGTACTAATGGTAAATAAAACACTTGACAGTGCAGAAGACCTAAGAGACTCCGGTGTGATCCCTGGGTCAGGAAGATCTGTTGGAGGAGAAAATGGCAACCCACTCTGGTATTCTCACCTGGAGAATCCCATGGACAGAGGAGCTCCAGTCCAGGGGGTTGCAAAGAGTCAGATGCTCCTGAAGCGAACTTAGCACACACATGGTGTCCCAGTTTTTTAGCTAACTAATTTCCTCTCCTTCCCATCCTGACCCAAAACATCATATGCTGGATCTCAGTGAGATATGTCCTCTCCACAAAGAAGCTCACATAAGGGACTCCTTCAGATGAGCCACACCTGTCCCTGGGTCAGCACATGCTCAGCTCATCACCCACGATGCCTCTGGCCGAGGACTCATTCCCCACTGGGCAGACGGGATCCAAGATCAGGATGAGTCTGATACGATACCAAGTTATTAACCATCCAAGGAAAAAACAAACACACAAAAAAACTGTGTTAGTACACACCCTTAACTAAGGTAGTACTGATAAGAGATAGCTACTGAGATGAAAAGAGGAGTTAGTTTAGGGGAAGCAAAAAACTTAGATACCCAGAATATTTCATCTTCAAACAGATCCAACAAATATTTTCTGAGCGTCTGTTAGGTGCCAGGCACAGTCGGGACACTAGGCATACAGCAGCATTACTGTTGCTAAACTCCCACAAGCCTACCCTGCTCCCTGCCACCCGCCCACCCCTCACCACACCCCACGATGATTCAGAACTCTACATTTATCCACAAGCCTGCCTCCCTCGACAGCTTGGTGAAGAGTGACGTGGACACAGAAGGAAACCAATAAATATTTGTTGAAGGAATGAATTGGCAAGGAATCCAAGTCTTTGGTTTCCCCACGCCTCAAGCACAGGACACACAGAGAAACATGCCCTGGGCCCCTGGGAGGGAGGATCCTGCAGAACTGCTCACAGCATCACCTGGAAGCGGGGAGGATGGAATTCTTTACTGAAGAAGCCGCACACACATGCACCAGGGGGCAGAGTGAGCAGTACTTTTGGAGTTGGCCGGGAGCTTTTGCCTTTTCAAGAGAGCCCTCCTGGAGCCGTCTGAGACCTCCCAGTAGAACAACAACATATTTTCTGGGCTTCTCGGCACATTCATGTTTCTAGTCGAAGTGTGGTATCTCTGAAATCCAGCGTGCGATGTCCAGGTCAGGATGGGAAGAAGAGGAAGGCAGTGAGCTGGAAAGTTGGGATTTCTCAGGAAAGGTGGATAATTCATCCTACCCTTTTGGATGGGGAGGCTGAAGGAACAGTCACTACTGCTGGGAGACTGTGTAACACAATTCCACTGTCTGAGGTGCCTTCCACTCAGTGTCTGAATGGCCAGCCCCATGAAACTGACAATAATCCAATAACTGGGAGGCATTCTTAGTTTTATGTCCCAAGAAGAATGTGTAACGTTTAGAGGACAGTAAACCCCAGACCCACATTGTTCCATTACTAGGCAGTATGCACCACTTGGGCACTCGAAGCCTAGCATTATCAGGAAATAATTGAGAAATACAAAGAATTTTGCTACAAATGGTATTTATTACTTCAAAAGAGAACTGTTTTCCCTTTTATGGCATCGAAGATATCCATTTTTTAAAAATGTTTTCCTAGCACGTTACAAATTACTTCAGAGTTGGGAAATGCTCCTTGCTAGGAAGAGGCTGTGTGCTCTGAGAATTGGTCCTGACTCCTGATTGAAAATATTGTTTATTTGGGCAACTACATTCTTCAGTCAGTAAGGCCTGGGGAGTTTACTATTAATCCCAAATGTAAACCCCAGTTAGAATTGCTGCTTACAAAAGCTGATTACTATTTAACTCTCATGTTCACAGCACATCTTGCAAATGCCTCCAATAAATGAGAAAACAGTACTTACAAGCAACGCTGACTGAGGTGACCTGAATTACTGCCCCTTTGATCTTTTCTCCTACCTCAACTCTCTCCATTGACTGTCCCAGAAAACACTCGAGGGTTTAGCCTAAAGATGAACTGGCACCAATTTGTGGGGGGGACAGAGGGGAAGACAGGAAGTTGTGCCTGATGGCTGGCCTGGAGATTGCATGCTCCCTTCCTGTTTTAAAGAATTGCTATCTGGACGGGAATTGAACCAGAAGAACCATAGATACACATGGAGTTAGCATTGCCAGATTTAGCAAAACAGACAAAAACTATTGTATGTGACATACTACAATATAGTCCCTGTTGCTCTGAGGTTCAACTTGAACTGGGCGTCCTCACAACTCTCCACTGAACAGATAACCCAGACTTGCAGGAGACAGGGGCCATAGAAGGATGAGGCCCTCAAAATCCCTAAGAGAAAGGTTCTCAAGATTTCTAGGGCAGCCACAAGTACCCAAAGTAGAAGAAGAGAGTCTAAGACTCCTAGAGGGCAAGGGCTAGTCCATCCCATGAGCCTGGTACTCCTGGTCCCCCCGGTCCCCCTGGCCAGTAGTGGGCAGTGGGAGAGGAATCAAAGAAAAGGAGATAGAAAGCAGGGTATGTGCTTCCCTCTTCCTGCAAGCCCCTCTCTCACGTTTTCTTTTTCCTCCTCTCCCCTTCGACTCTTCCTCCTCACCCCAGTATCCCCTAAAGCAAAACAAACAAACCCCCAAAAAACAAAAAGTCAAAAAACAAAACAAAACCCTTTGTTTCCACTGTGGTTTCACGTAGATTTTCAACCTACGAGGTGCAGACATGGTTGAAGCAATTAACCCTGAGGTGTGAGTGACGCTTCACTGGGATGTGCAGTCACCAGTCAGGAGGCGAGGCGGGAGCGGGAGGGGCGGTGGGGCCCCAAGAGGAGGGTGTCCCCAGCTGCCACCCCCGAGGGCTCCTGCAGCCGCTGCTGTTTATCAGGCTGCTCACAGGAAGGGCTTCACAAAATAAAATAAAAATCAACTTTGCAGTCGCAGCCCGACGACTCCCAGGATGGCCAGCTCCCGGCTCCCGCGGACACACCCCTTGTGCCCTCCCTGGCTTTCAGTTCCGACTCCCCATCCCAGGGGGGTCCCCACCTGCTGCCACACAGCTGCTCTTCCTCTTGTAACAAGAACGTCCATCTCGGGTTTTATTTCCTCCCGAGAAGCCTGAGGAAGCCTCAGGTGGGTTTCCATGTCAACCTTCACTGAAATCCAAACATTTGACTTTCTCAAAGGCAGTTTAACCTCTGCCACCACATCCTTAGAGGGGCAGAGGATTTTTTCCCAAGGCTTAAAAAAAAAAGACTAGAGCTTTCAAAAGACTCAGGCTTCTGGGGGACTCTATTCACAGAGTGATAACACATCTTGAAACAGGATATTTATAATTTGTTTGGTTTCACGTTTATCCTCCCAAAGCTAAACAGTAATGGCTGAGAGCTATGAAAACACTTAGGTAACAAGAGGGGCCAGAGCAGAGATAAAAAGGATAATTGGAAACAGAGAAGCTGCCTCCAAGTCGCACCTTCTTGAAGGCTCATAGCTCGGCAAGCTGGAAAGCTCAGGGCAGGCCGCAGCATCCATCCATTCTGGGCATTCCTCAGCCTCCCCTCTTCCAAGGTTTACTTATGCAAGCTTAGCTGCAATTTTCCACAGATCCTTGGCCTGGTCCCGGGCCACCTTCCCAGGGAAGAAGCCCGCAGGGATGGGAGCTTGGGGGAAAACAAACACAGGTTCCAAGCTCTGGAACAGGCCACCTGGAAATGAAAGATAACCTGTCGAGATAAGGGATTTACCCGGGCCAGGGTGCGCTGTGGGAAGGGGGCAGGGCAGGAGAGGTGCAGCCTCATATGCCCAACCATCAGATGATGAAACTGGGAGGTAATAAATGGGTCTAGTGAGGCCACACGTGGAATACTATGTTCCTCACGGCCTCACAGGGAAGAGGCACACACTGAGTTGGCTGCCATTCAGAGAAGAGCAATTAGGATGATTAAGAGGCCAGAGGGAGTGACTTAGGGGGAGAGATTAAAAGAATTAAACATGTATACCTTGGCTAAGCTCAAAGCAGAGGGAATGTGGAAACTCTATAAGCATCCTCAGAACATAAACACGAGGAGAACATGGAATTGTTTCACATAGTCCCTGAGGGATGTAACTGGAAGTAATAGGATGGAGGAAAAGAAAACTGAACTACCTGTTGGAGAAAGCTTCTGAATAGGTCCAGATCAACTCTGACACTCAAGAAGTGTCAGGCACACCTAATGCTCTTGAAACAAAGTCAACAAGGGGA